CTAATGAAAGAGAATAGGTGATTGCACCTCGGGCTATGTTCTGTGCCTAATGACTCCTCCAAAGGCGGATTTATGGAGAAAAAATTAACTTTGAATGAGGATTGAATTGGCCCTGACAGGCTGATAGACTGTGACACAGATTCTGTGGCAAAACAGACGTAGCCCTAATTGATTATCAATATTTTAAGCAAAGTGATGAAAATAAGCATTAAGTGATGAGAAAGGCAGTCTTAATACAGTAGGCAGTCACCGGGAGCCGGGAAGTCTTCGGGGAGCTCGGCCGGGACGGGATTTTAGCTGGCAGTTCTTCCCTTTCCCTGCCCCACAGCCCGTGTCCCTCCCCAGCCTCTTCCTCTCCTGGATCTGTTGATATTCCAGCCAGGAACGAGCGTGCCTCCCTCTCTCCAGAGGAGTTGGTTTGGTTTTAACCCCTTTGGACTCGGGGCTGCTTCGCGGGTTTTGGATGTTCTCTCCTTCCCTGCTGGGCTCTCTCCCTGCCCTGTGCAGGTGAGCCACAAACTGCTTCCTGAAAATGGTAACAACCAGGAGAAAATTGCCTGGTTGGTGGGAAAGGGTTGATCTTGATGATTCTTGGTTGTACCCGATATAAACTAATATCTTGGTGACACCAAATACCTCAGTTATCCTTTGGAGCAGGACAACGTTTGGGTTTTGCCTGTGTTTTTTCAGTTGGGTTGCATATGACTGGATTTGTTTTCTACCAAAAATCCATTGAATGTTTGGGAAAACCCTCGTGGCTGTGAGCCAGCTGCTGGTTAGCTGTGCCATAACAGGACGTTTATCCTAGGGTAAGGAATGTTTTCCAAAATGCCTGAGGGGAGGGAACTGAGCAGGAATGCTGCATTCCCACACCAGGAGGAATCAGTGGGATAGCATCTTCCTTCCAAACACTGGGCGTGTTCCCCAGGGAATTTGGAGAAGCTTAAAATACCCAGATTTGGGCTTTTGGGGAAGTTTTTAAGTGTGACTGGCAGAGCAGGGGAGGGGGCAGCGAGCTCCTCCCTCACCCTCCTGCTCAGGGCTCCAATATCCATAATTAGAGCCTGGTGTAATTAAATTACAGGGCAGCAAGGGCAGAAGTTCCCATGTGTGGGAATTGGGTGTTTCAGGGGTAGTTAGGAAGGACAGGGAGCTCCTGTGGCACTGAGAGATCCATGGCCATGATGGACTGGGCAGGTGAACCATGGATTTATGGAATCACAGCACCCCGTGGATTTATGGGATCATGGATTAACAGAATCATACACTCATTCAGGCTGGAAAAGCCCTCTGAGACCTCCAAGAATGTTGGTGATGTTTAAATTTGGGGTGAAATGTTACTGAAGGGAAAAATACAGAAAACCAGCTTAAATCTGGAGTGATAAGAATGTGTGTGCTGGTGTCACTTTTCCTCTGGAACTCAGAATTAATTCCTGGGTGCTGCTCCTGGTGTTCCTGTCAGAGGAATTCTCTGAGCAAGTGGTTGTTTGGAGTTTGTGCTGGAATTTGTCGGGTGGATAACAGATAATTTTACACGTCAGCCTATGAATATTCAGCAGAGAGGATTTCCACAAGCCTTGATAAATTTAATATACCAGAGAAAAATAACATGTAAATTAAACAAGGCCTTGTAAATTAATAATGGATTCCACTTGTATTTTTATATGTGAGCTGACTGAATATTTTATAAGTGCAAAAATGTTTGTGTTTAAAAGAAAAAAAAGGTGAAGTCTTTCTGATGAGCACTGTGGATGGTTGGCTGCATTTTAAATGAGATGTCCATGTGTTTTTACAGTTTCTTGGCTTTCTTTTCCTCAGACACATCTTGTATTTTCAACTTTGAGCGGTTGGAAAGTCCACAATTAAGTTGAATTAATTTATTTTTCCAGACCTCTTGTGGTTTGCAGTTGTGGGTGTTCTGACACTCCTCTCTTTTTAATTTTGACAGGAAAATGAAATCTCCTTAGTGCAGGGCTGAGTTTTTTCCATGTACCTTCCCTGCTTCTCCCATGCTCTGGGGGAGGACTCTGCTGCAGGAGCTCCTCCATCAGCCTGGGCCACACTTTCCAAAATGCCCTTTCCAGCCCCAAAACATGCCCTGCTCTGTTTCTACCATGGAATAATTCACAGTTTTCCTGGCTTCTCTTAATTAGCAGCTTTGCTTGGAATAATTTCACCTTGGCACAGCGTGAGACTGGTCAGGATTAAGGCATCAACCACCCATCAGGGAGTGACTGCTTCCCAAACCTTGAGCACTCCCAGGGGTTCCATGGAATCGTGGAATTGTTTCGGTTGGGAAAGCCCTCCCAGACCATCAAATCCAAGTTGTAAAGATCTTTTAATGTTGTTTAACTGCAGCTTGGTTTGAGAAAAGTGAATCTCTTTTAGAGCTTTTGATGGCGCTTGGGCAATGAACAACAATATATTCACTCTATAATAACAATAATAATAACAATAATAATAATAATAATAATAATAATAATAATAATAATAATAACAACAACATTGATGAGGAGGAAAAGAAGAACAGAAAGGAGGAGGAGAGGAAGGAGAAGCAGGAGAAGAAAAAAGGAAGGAGAAGAAGAAGAAAAGGAGAAGGATGGGAAGAAGAAGAGTGGACACAATCCTGTGCCATGCTCTCCAGGATGACCCTGCTGGAGGCTGAACCACTTGAGCCACTGTGGTACCTCCCAGCCTGGCCCTTTCTGGGATTCTGTGCAAAAACGACAGAAAATGTGAAATGTTTGAAGAGAATCTTTGGTGTTCAATCCCGAGAGTAACTCAGAGTTTCAGTGCCTGTTGTTGGTTGTGGTGGACACAGCCCTGTGAGCTCAGGACTGCTCTGAAGATTTATGAACTAAGTTAAATTGTTGTTAATGAGCAATTTTGTGTGGAGAATTGTCCTCGTGATACTTCCTAAATTGCCCCATTGTCCCTCTAATTAACCAGGACTTGAAAGGCCAAGCTCTGCCTCGGCAGCAGTTTTAACTTGACTTACAAGGGCTGAAAATCAGCGATTTAAAGTTAACAAAGACAAGCTAAAAATTTATTCATTGACCAGCAGCATCTTTCCTGTGTGTTTTAATATCTTTTTGCCACTGAGATACCCAATGAATTGTTCCTGTGCAGCAACAAATCGGGCAGGAAGAACAAAGTAGCTCAGTGGAATAGATAAATCAAATTTAGGCCTGGTAGTTTATTGAATCTAAATTGTGCCCAGTTGGCCCACGAGCTATATGAGCAATCCATCTTGTGCTGATAATGGAGGGTCTTGAAATCCACCTGATGTTTGCATTATTAAATTCCAGCCTAATGAGCTCTGCTAATACATATTGAAGACAGTTGTAAGGAGCAGAATGGGAATGGGAGCGGGATAATTTGAAAGAAACATAAGCTGAGCATTTTACATGACTCAAGGGGTATATCTACAATTACACATATCACCAAAATTGAATTTAAATGGAATTTCTATTATCCCTGTCCTTTTACCAAGGAGAATAAAGTGTAAATGAAGTAAAAGTCTTCAGAGTTACGCGTGGTTTGGTTTTATTATGGGATTTAATAGATTCTTGTAATGATCTTGAGTGGCAGAAAAAGTTTTAATATTCCACGGCTTTAAGTGTTGTCTAAATATGTATAAAATTGTGGAGGTGGAAGCAGCTGTCAGTGCAGTGATTGGATAATTTGGTAACACCCTGGTCAGGTTGTGCATTTTAAACTGGAGCCGGTGGCTCCAAAAAGCAGCGACCCCTTCACCCCCCTCCTGAGCTGAGTTTGGTTTTCATCAATTATTGCTTCATTCAGGAGGTGCTCGGAGTAAATATTTGCAAATCTGACTGAGCTCTTGCCATTCAGAGCACAGTTTGTAGTGATTTCCCTCCCTGGGAAGGCCTGGTGTAAATGCTGGATTTCTGGTCCTTTTTGGTTCTTTCCTTTCTGGCCTGGTGATACTTTTGAAAACTTAATATTTCATCAAGTATAATGTTATTAGAGACTTAGTCTCACTTAGTTCACTCATCAGGCAGTGAGATGGCAATAAAAGAGAATGGCTCCTTTGAGACATTAATGCTTTGGAATAAATGATGTGCTAGAACAGAAATTTAATTAATTTACAGAGTATATTGATAGTCCCTTGTTACTGTGCTGTATATTTTTAATCTTCTTTAACATCTGTAGGAAAGTGTTTGAAAACCCCTGCAGTTGAGCAACTGGTAGATAATTAAGTAATAAGGGAAGAGGTTTCTAGAGGGAAAAAGATTCTTTTTAAAGAAGATTGTTGGAACATGGATTAAGTACTGCTGCTGTGATTTGGAGTGAAGAGAAAATTGTGTACTGCCTAATAAAGTCCTGAGGAAGAGCTGACTCCCACTCTGAACAGTCTGCAGGCCTGGAAATATTGTTTTGTTTCCGTTTTACCCCCAAAATATGTCTGATGGATTACTCAGAATGGCAGAAAATCTGCCACTGCATGGGTGCACCACCTTTGGGTCGGTGCAGTTTGGTCTGGGGGCAGCTGGGCAGGGGAGATTGGGGTTTAAAGAAAGAAAACAAAACCTCTTAAAAGTCTCTTAAGGGCTTTACTGACCCCAAAATCAATGTGGGGATTTGTACTGAATTAATATTGCCTCTAATACTGACCTGATATTACCCTCCATAATCCCATTTATGCCATTCCTTAACTGTGGGAATGGCTTTAAATGAATTTAATGAAGAACCAAGTTCTGGTCTGTCAGGCACGTGGATTTCATTGTGGGGCCTGCAGGGAGGAACATGAAATTGGGATTAAAGCCCTGAAAATATTGTTTGGCCAGAGGTTGTCGACAGCCCATCCCTGGCAGTGCCCAAGGCCGGGTTGGACACTGGGGCTGGAGCAGCCTGGGGCAGTGGGAGGTGTCCCTGCCATGGATGGGATTTAAAGTCCTTCCAACCCAAACCATTCCATAATTCCTTTATTTGATTGGATAAATTTAACTAATTCCAACTGGTTTTCTTCTTTTTAGCCAAAGCAGATGAAGCGTTGAAGGCCAAGGAGAGAAGTGAAGAAGAAGCCAAAAGAAGAAAGGAAGAAGGTGAGGAATTTTCTTCTATTTCATAACAAACTAAAGCCCAGGAAGACAGAAATTATTATTTTTAAGCTCGAGTGGGGCTGTGAGATTTTCCTCCCTGGGCTGATGATGGAATCTGGTGCCCTGAGCTGCTTCTCTGCAGTCCAGCAGGTGGAATAATGAAACCACATGGATTGAAATGTCAGGGAGTGATGGAAGAGACATTTCCAATATCTGAGGGAGCCAATCCAAACAATCCAGGAGCCTCAAATCCTCACTGGAGCTCTGTGGGCTTTGAGGTCCCTTCAACCCAAACCATTCCGGGATTCCATGATTTAATTCCAAGAGGGAACTCAGGAAAATTCCCCATTTTTGAAACCGCGGCTGCTGAGAATTTCACTCAAAATCAAAATGTTCTAATCTTTAGTTTTACCTGGGATGCTGAGAGGAATTAACTGATGCTCCCAGTTAATCCTGCTTGGAGAAGGTTGTTGTGATACCCAAGGAGGAAATTCAAGTGGAAAAGTGACCCTGACAAGGCAGGAGGGAAAAAATCCAAATCTGACTGGAAAAGGACCAAACCAAGGAGCTGTGCCCCCTCCCCTTTGTGATTCCTGGATTTTGGAACCCATGGCCCAGGGGGAGCCTTTCCACCTGGAGTTGTCACCCAGCCAGGCTCCCATGGGCACAGGGATTTTGGGATGAGCTGGTTGGGTCCCACCAGCACCAATCCACAGGGAAAATAGAGTTTGGGAACATTTTTGTGTGAAAAAATACATTGATTTTTTGTGCTCAGATCCCATTGTGAGTGGCAGATGTGCTGGCAATTGCTGTGCCAGCAGGGATTGGGAAGGGTGAGTGTGGAGAGGCAGAGGGAAGAAAAAAGGGGCAATTCATGACTTGGGAACAATGGGATTTCCAGGGAAATGGGGAGGAAAACCTCTACAATTTATTAATAAGCCATGAAAACTGTCCTGGGGTGGCTTTGAAGGGTTGTGAGGACGTCACAGTGTTGGAAAATGAAGATTTTTTTTCTGAGCAACTCAAATTCATCCATTTGCTGAGGAGTTGGCTCCCAGTTAGGAATGAAAGTTCATTCTCCCTGGAAAATACAAAATCTTATTAAATTGTGTATGAGGCATTGGAGCATTCCAAGACATCCAGGGGAATTGCACACTGGGGAAACTCCATTTTTTTGTTAAGTTTATGTCCAAACGGATTCAAAATTCCAGTTTTAGGTGGGTTTATGTCCCATATGGATTTGCAAACAGGACATTTATCCAGTGCTTAGAATGTGTTCCCTTCCCTGTCCCAGGCTGCAGTGACATCTTTTGCTTGGAAAAAGAGCATTTTGCATTTTTCCTTAGTTCTTCCTTCCTCACACAACACCTCTGGGTGGTTTTTAACCCTCTTTGATCCCTCATGGGGATCCCTGAGGTTGGAAAAAACTTTCCAGACCATTAATTCCAAACTGTGACTGATCCCACCAGAGCACCGAGTGCTACACAAAATCATTGAAATAAAATAAGATAAAGCAAAATTATATTGAATTAAATCTTTTTTAAAAAGTTCTAAATTACTATTTTAAAAGAATTTTTATTTCTCTAATATCCCTTATTTTATTTCCCTAACTAGAACCCTCCAAAAGGAAATTCCAGCCCCTGTAGGCATCCTGTGACTCCTTTACTCAGGAGCTGCAATAAAAATAATTCTACAAATAAACCAATCCTTTCCCAACTCATAAAAACTGGTTATTGCCCACCCCATACCGAGGGGTGTCTTAACATTCCTTTTATTGTCATTTTATTGCCAAATCAGGTGTGAGATTAGACGTTGGATGTTCCATGTAATCTGCTCGGAAATCAAATTATTTGACCTCCAAGGCCAGCACTGCCCCTTCCTGCTGGTTTCCTGTGAAATATGCAGCATTTCCCCAGCATGAATAAAAAATTGAGGACAAATTAGAATCTGCAGACAGCTGACCCCAGCTCCAGATTAGAGACTGGGGGCTCATGCTGGTTTAAATGTTTTAATTACCATAGTCCCTCCAGCCTGGTGAAGGACACACAGCAAAATGCTGATTTTTTTTTTTTTTTTTAAGTGACTAAAAAGCAAAGAAAGAAAGAAAAAGGCTCCCCCCACCTAATTTGAATTTTTCAGTTTTGTTACATTTGCACTTCCATTGGAGCTATGCTAATTTGCTGCATGAAATTAGGTCTATTAGCAAAACCTACTATTTTTCCAGGAGTATTTTCAGTGGTTGGGTTTTCCTAGTTTGGTTTTTGTTTACTTGCTTTGGGGCTGCCTGAAAAGTGAAAAAATCCAGAGGGGATTTTGCCACCCAACTGGGTTTTACTCCAGACAAATTCCGAATAGATGAAGTGGACAAGAGGAAAATTGGAAAAAAAAATGCAAAGGAAAAACTGGGACATCTTGGATGATGTTAGGGAGAGGTTTTGGGCTCGTTTCTCTTAATCTCCCACGAATAATAAGATTTTTAAATCTTGAGTTTGAAATAACACCACGGCAGGGCCACGTGTGGGGAGGAGGAGCTGGGGATGCATCAGGAAACCAGGAACAGAAGTTGTTCTGGAGCACAGTAGGATAGAAAATGTGGATTTTTGGCAATCAATCATTCCATAGGTGGATGGAGGGAGGGTGGTGCTGGATGGGGCGAGCGTTATCCTGGTGCCTTTATCCCAGAATTTGCATTTTCCTTTGC